AGCTATGTGCAAGAAGCCCCCGCAAAGTCCCACTGTTGAAAAAAAGACATGTGCTGAAGAGGTTACAATTTGCCAAAGAGCACATTGACTGGCCTAAAGAGAAATGGCGCAACATTTTGTGGACTGATAAAAGTAAGATTGTTCTTTTTGGGTCTAGTGGCCGGAGACAGTTTGTCAGACGACCCCCAAACACTGAATTCAAGCCACAGTATACTGTGAAGACAGTGAAGCATGGTTGTGCAAGCATCATGATATGGGCATGTTTCTCATACTACGGTGTTGGGCCTATTTATCGCATACCAGGGATCATGGATCAGTGATCAGTGTGAATACATCAGAATACTTGAAGAGGTCATGCTGCCTTATGCTGAAGAGGAAATACCCTTGAAATGGGTGTTCCAACAAAACAACGACCCCAAACACACCAGTAAACGTGCAACATCTTGGTTCCAGACCAACAAGATTGACGTTATGGAGTGGCCAGCCCAATCCCCGGATCTTAATCCAATAGAAAACTTGTGGGGTGACATCAAAAATGCAGTTTCTAAGGTAAAACCAAGAAATAGAGAAGAACTGCGGAATGTAGTCCAATCATCCTGGGCTGGAATACCTGTTCACAGGTGCCAGAAGTTGGTTGACTCCATGCAACACCGATGTACAGCAGTTCTCAGAAACAGTGCTTATACAACCAAATATTAATTAAGTGATTCAAAGGAAAGCAAAATCTTCAAACATTTTTCAGTTTATATAGTGAATGTTTGAGTTTGTAAAGAAGAATACAAACACTGCTTTTTTTTTTTGAACAGTCTAATATTCACTTTTCTTCAACTTTTCTAGAGGAACAACACAAATTTGCTATATTTTTCTTCATGTTTTGATTTGGAATAGAATGTGTAGTGTTCCCAATGCATTTGTGTGTATGGAAATAAAAGCTATTAGGATTTTGAGCTTTATTCACTTTTTTCAACACACTGCTATTATTTTGAACACAACTGTATATGTGTGTGTGTGTGTGTATATATATATATATATATATAATACACACACATATACTACATATTGCTTTCAAACTGATATATAAAGCCCACTGTCAGCTGACGTCACTCGGCTTGTCCAGACTCTAGTGGGATTTGCCCAGATGTCTGAATCGACAGCCATTGTGAGCTTGATCCATCCGCGCCCAGCGCTGCAGGGGCAGCTCGAGACGGACAGTAACCGCCTCTCTGCAGACTGAATACTGAGAACTGAGCGATAAGCGGTCTATGATCGCTCAGTTCTCGGTCTTAGAGGCAGCGAGGGACAGCTTCAGCTGCAATCGGTGCGGCAGTTATGTGAGTACGATTGTTTTTTTTCTTTTTTTTTCTTCCAAAGCTTCTCTTTTAAATGTATATCTTTATTGGAATGTGGTTTGTCATTTTCAAAAAGCTGCTAGCAGGCTTTAGTAAGCTTCCGCACTCCTAGCAGCTTTGTGTTCGTAAGTGTTCTATGGACACAGACGCTTAATGGCTGTGTATGATGTGTATCCAAATAACAGTGTAACTATTTAACCTTCCCAGCTGCCGCTGAATGTGCACCTTTACAGAAGCCCTGTAGTGACTAAACACATCACACCTAATGTGTGTGTGCAGAACTGTCTAAAACCCCAAAGTGCACCATACATAAGTAAATTCTCAGAATGAATATAAAATATCACAATACATATGAGTTATACAATATTTCAAATACAGTCCTGATATCCGATGTAGTCTGGTGACAAAACGCATAGATGTGGGACTTCCAGTTGATGACATCACTTTGCTGATGTCACGTCCACCACTTGAAACACATGCTGATTCCGGAACACAGAGGAGCAACGGCGCTTCAAAACTAACTGTTGAATGGTAATACCAGGTGCCAGATTAGGTATCATTTATATGAGTGGAACTGCATTGTTTTTATCTAGTAATTGTAATAAAATTTGTTGCTCAATACTTTTCTTCTGGGTTAATGCTACTCTGCCTGGACTAACATAAAGCATAAGTGGAAGCATACAGAGATCTCCATGGAGTAGTGGATTTTCCTGGAGAAAGCGGTCTTTGTTCAACATATTGACCTACTTATTGCTTATAAGGGGTCAATTGCTTCTGGTGAGTGAACACTGTTTAAGGGGGCGCTCAGAAAAATAAGGCACTTGAAGTGGTGGAACAGTGTGGCATAGCTGTTTAGACTAATCATTTTTAAGAATTCTTGAAGCACCTTATTGAGGTTTGCTACCATTTTTGAGCACTTGCATGATATTTTGAAGCACGTTATGTGGACTGTGTTGAAATATCATATAATTTATATTTATTGTGATATTTTATGTTCATTCTGAGGATTTATTTATGCACACCTCACTTTGGTTTTTTTGGGGGGTTTTGCACAGACACACATTCGGTATGATACTAGAGAACTTACATTGATTTATTATTTGATTAGCGCTGCTCTTTCTTCTTGTTTTAGTCTTTACAGTGCATTAGTAGGGATGCACATTGAGCGGCAGCTGGGACGGTTAAAATTTACACTTTTATGGATACACATCATACACTGCCATTTTGTGTGTGTGTCCATAGAATTATTCATAACACAAAGATAATTGGCACTGCTAGAACTGAGGAGTTAACAGCTCCAACAAAGCGGCTTAGTTTTCAGAAACAAGCTGAAGGAAGTGTAGACAGGGCCATACAGATCTGCATGTTTTCGTAGGTTCAGGATTAATGCCCACTGGTTTGAATGTGGCCATTTTGCTGATTGACTCTTTTTCCAGTGATGGCTACTGATTCTCAAACATCTGGGACTAAAATTATATTAGAAAGTATGTTGTGGTTTATTGGGATTGTGCATATGAATTAATTTATTATTACTTTGTGGAAGTTTCAGAAAGTCTAGTGCTTTCATTTAGCTCCATAATCATCCCAGGTTACCAAAGATAAACAAATTAGGAAAGGTCTTGAAAGTTTTCTGCGTTACATTAATATGCTGCTTTTTATTTTATTAATTCAGAGTGCCTAAAATCTCTCCTGAGGACTCCCATAAGGAACACCGACATCAGAAAGTTAAATCTCCCTCGCAGCACAAAAAGCCTGAGAAGATAGCACACAAGAGACACCCTAGTGAGAGCAGCCCCTGCAGGCAGCTGTCCACCACAAGCAGCAACAAAAGCAGTAGCAAAGAACATACTACTCCCAAACAAAGAAAGGTGGAGGAGACAAGTATCGAACGCACAAAAAACAGCAAGGTACGTTCATTGATTGAATTAGTCATCTCTATCTCCCTCAGCCATCAGTGTAGTTCTCTGCAGCAGCAAATACCATCTAAATTATTTTCGCTGATGTTGGCAGAAAGAAATGTACATCTGGGGATGACAGGACAAAATGCTGCGTTGCTTTGGTCTCTGTATAAATGTTCAAAATAGTTTGAGTGGATTGTTCTGTAAAGCTTGGATGACTGGATGCGTGATCTGCTGTGCTTAGCAAAACTATTATTAATTCTTCCTGGGTGCAGAAACATGGAGCACTAACTGTGGTAAGGGAAAAATTTAACAATGCAAATTAGTCAAATGTTTTAATTTTTTTTTTTCAAGCTCAGTTATATAGCTTCTATAAAAAAAAGCATACACGGAGGTTAGGTTTTAACCAGTAAGGGTTGCAACACAAATTTTACATGTATGTCAAAAATAGTTTTTTCTTTTTGTAATTGCTAAATTAGCACTATTTTTAACATTTGTTAGGCTCCATTCATATTAGGAACCTTTTTTGGGCGTTGTGTGTCCCGCGATTTTGTTTGCGCGATCCCGAATGTTGCAACAACGCCCTTTGTTTTCAGGTGCCATTGAAATGAATGGTACCTGAACACGCAATCGCATGTTTTCACACTTTTACAGTGCGTTTGCAAATCGTGGCCAGAATCAAGGAGATTTTGTCTGTGATTTGAAAAACCCTTGTGTGAATGGAGCCTAATTGTTTAAGAGACTTCTCTGCATGGATTGTATAGTTAGTATAAAAAGTAAATGTCTGTTTCTCAATTATCCATACAGCAAAACAAAAAAAGTTTCCTCTGCTTATATGATCACTATATTTTGTAACAAATAGGCAGTGACATACTGTACAACAAGCCAACCATCCCAATATAAAGTGCATGTCCCTGTTCACATTGCTGTTACTTGAAAATAGATATAGTTACACCCTTCTGATGTGGGGCTGATTTGAACTGCATTAGGAGCCTCCCTCTTCCCCGGCTCACCCTTCAGGATCCGATATCATGGGATATTTGTAGGCCCATTGCAACATAAGTGTCATGTGATGGCTTGGATTTGTCACCCCCCCTTTTTTCCCTCCTCTCCCCTCTCCCCTCCCCCCTCTCCCCTTTTTCCCCTCCCCTCCTCTCTCCCTTTTTCCCCTCCCCTCCTCTCCCCTTTTTCCCCTCCCCTCCTCTCTTCTTACCTGTCTTTCTCCCTCCTGCCTTCCTTTCTCTCTTTTTCTCTCCTCTTCTAGCTTCATCTTACTCAAACAAATTGAGGAAAATAGTAACTTGTGTTTGCATATGTGCCTCCCACTTGTTAAGGGACCAAAGGTAATGGGACAGAATAATAATCATAAATCAAACTTTCACTTTTTAATACTTGGTTGCAAATCCTTTGCAGTCAATTACAGCCTGAAGTCTGGAACGAATAGACATCACCAGATGCTGGGTTTCATCCCTGGTGATGCTCTGCCAGGCCTCTACTGCAACTGTCTTCAGTTCCTGCTTGTTCTTGGGGCATTTTCTCTTCAGTTTTGTCTTCAGCAAGTGAAATGCATGCTCAATCGGATTCAGGTCAGGTGATTGACTTGGCCTTTGCATAAAATTCCACTTCTTTCCCTTAAACTCTTTGGTTGCTTTTGCAGTATGCTTTGGGTCATTGTCCAGCTGCACTGTGAAGCGGCATCCAATGAGTTCTGAAGCATTTGGCTGAATATGAGCAGATATTGCCCAAAACACTTCAGAATTCATCCTGCTGCTTTTGTCAGCAGTCACATCAAAAATTCAAGAGAACCAGTTCCATTAGCAGCCATACATGCCCACGCCATGACACTACCACCACCATGCTTCACTGATGAGGTAATATGCTTAGGATCCTGAGCAGTTCCTTTCCTTCTCCATACTCTTCTCTTCCCATCACTCTGGTACAAGTTGATCTTGGTCTTATCTGTCTCTGTCCATAGGATGTTGTTCCAGAACTGTGAAGGCTTTTTTAGATGTCGTTTGGCAAACTCTAATCTGGCCTTCCTGTTTTTGAGGCTCACCAATGGTTTACATCTTGTGGTGAACCCTCTGTATTCACTCTGGTGAAGTCTTCTCTTGATTGTTGACTTTGACACACATACACCTACCTCCTGGAGAGTGTTCTTGATCTGGCCAACTGTTGTGAAGGGTGTTTTTCTTCACCAGGAAAAGAAATCTTCGGTCTTCCACCACAGTTGTTTTCCGTGGTCTTCCTGGGTCTTTTGGTGTTGATGAGCTCACCGGTGCATTCCTTCTTTTTAAGAATGTTCCAAACAGTTGTTTTGGCCACGCCTAATGTTTTTGCTATCTCTCTGATGGGTCTTGTTTTGTTTTTTTCAGCCTAATGATGACTTGCTTCACTGATAGTGACAGCTCTTTGGATCTCATCTTGGGAGTTGACAGCAACAGATTCCAAATGCAAATAGCACACTTGAAATGAACTCTGGACCTTTTATCTGCTCATTGTAATTGGGATAATGAGGGAATAACACACACCTGGCCATGGAACAGCTGAGAAGCCAATTGTCCCATTACTTTTGGTCCCTTAACAAGTGGGAGGCACATATGCAAACTGTTGTAATTCCTACACCGTTCACCTGATTTGGATGTAAATACCCTCAAATTAAAGCTGACAGTCTGCAGTTAAAGCATTTCTTAGTTTTTTTGTGTTCCAAGGGACAGATTGTGGAGCACTTGACTTTGAGATGGGAGGGAGGACTAGAAGCTCAGTGGAGATTAGGTGCAACTGCAGTTCCAAAGGTTTATGGGAACTGGGTTTTTGAGAGCTTCCCAAGAGAATCATCTCCACATTTCCCTTGTCCTCGGTGCAGACTAATTATTTGGAAGGAGAAGTCTATACCTCCTAGCTGCCATTTTCTCCATGAAAATATACTGGAACCCATTTATTAAAGGTGTAGAGGTTATTCACTTGGCACAGTGAATGTTCTCTGAGCTAAGTAAATAAGGTGAAACTATGTTTGTATCAGTTAGCTAATCAATCTAGCACTCGTTCTTGCAATAATCCTGCAGGTTTATTTATTTTAAGTCTCACACATGATTGAATTATTTAAGGTGAGTGCAGGTTCATTATATTTACTAACATTCAATTTGAAAACTGAGCAGCCTATATTAATTTAGTAAATTAACTCCACCTTTATCAAGCCACCACATGTATGCCTTAGTGTGGAAAAATTGCCATAGTGCAGGGCCATGTTTACTGTTGCTGCGAAATGATACAGCAGTAAAGGCTGTTGTAGGAAGTTGCCTTATTGTATTTACTGAAATGTATGTTTTAATGTGTAGTTGTTTATATTTCTACATGTAAGTGTTTTAAGAGCTTCTTAAGGTCTACCTTTAGTATTTTTATTGTATTTACATTTTTAAATTTGGCTTATATTTAATACAGTTATGGGGAAATGTATGTATAGCTATAAGTTTTAGCATATTTTTCATATCAGTTATGGACTAAATTCTTTAAAAATTTCCAGGGTTCTACAGAAAATAACACAAATCCTTTCCCAGTGCCTTCTTTGCCAAATGGTACTGCCAAGCCAACAAGACCTCAGCTGAAGTTTGAAGAAAAGTACGTTTATTGTATTCCTATTTCTCAGTATGCTTCGCTTATGTATGCTTACTCGTATTTCTTGTCCGAATCCTGGAGTCAGTGAGAAGTGTCAATCATTAAATATCTGTTCTTCGCTTTAGGTTACATTCACCAGAACATTACATGAAGGAGGCCAAGAAACTAAAACATAAAGCCGATGCCATGGTAAGTCTGTTTTATTCTGGGTGTGTGTCTTTGAACTTGAAGGCGAAAAAAGCAAAGATATGCATCAGTTTCCTGTGACTGAACTACCGTCTTGAGGTCAGTAGTACATCATGGACCATACATAGCATCCTGTTTAATAACATCATGAGGAGGTAGTATCCGTATAAAAAAACTGATTACGTAACAAACACCTCAGTTTCAACTGCATGGTAAGTGTGAACATCCTTGTAAGAGTTAACAAGCCATAGTCTTCTTTGTAGCCATTGGCTTTTACCTAAAGTGAGGAACAGCAACAGATCAGTCATAATCTACCCTATAATTGTGGTCATTTGTCAGGTAGATTCTGATCCTACTATCATGGGTGTCACTAGCATAGGGCATGGGTCACATACCCTGCATCACTTGCCTGGAGTCCAGGGTGCAGATGCACAGCTGCTGTTAATCTTGTCTGATACTGTGAGCCTGACATGCTGCTTCTGGGCAGCCCCAGTCCTGTAAACATGAGGCATGCAGCCCTAAACAGGGCACAGCTGGTCATGCTGCTTCTATCACAAAAAAAAAAGCCCAGTGGTGATTAAATACCACTAAAAGAAAGATATTTGTGTGAAAAAAGGACATAAATTTTGTTTGGGTCCAGTGTTGCATGACTATGCAATTACCAGTTGCAATAGTGCAGTGCTGAATAGCAAAAAAAAATGGCCTGGCCAGGAAGGGGGAAACCCTTCCAGGGCTGAAGTGGTTAAAGAGGGTGCTTAGAAATTTTGTGTACATTCCTGAACAGCATTTTTCTTAATCTAACTTATAGTAGGGTACCTGCACTTGAGACTACACTTTTTTGCCAACGCAGAGAACCTAATTTTTTTTATATTCAATTGAATTATCTTTTCTGTGCTTGTGTTTTAGTTGGACAAGATTGGAAAGTCATTCAATTACCTAGATGCCGCCATGTTTTTCATTGAGTGCGGTATTGCAATGGAAGCTGATGTTAATGCACCAAAGCCGGCCTACACGATGTTTGCTGAAACAGTTGATCTTATTAAGTAAGTAAGTCTTAATAGCTGGTAAAGACAATATTTAAATAAAAAGAAAAATGTGGTTCATTATTCCTGCTCCATCCTATCTTCTTCCAAGTTTATGTATATTACCATTTCTCAGCACAATGCCTTATGCTGAGGATGTGTTTTATACAGAGTAATATAGAGGTTAACGTGAAAATACCAAGAACCGCATGTGAGTCTTCACAATATGAACACAAAGATTGGCTTAAAAAAGAGAAAAGTGAGGGATAATTTCACTTATATCGCTAGCAAATAAAATAACTTAGTGATTGGTGGAACAATGTCATCATCAAATGTTAAATGGTCAAGGCCAAATGGAACTTTTCTGAGGATTTGTGAATGAAATTATTTCTATACTCCAAGGATAATTAACTTGGCTGCTAGAAATAGATGAATAAGAGAGACTCTAGAGTGGGAAGGAAATCGCTCTATGCCTAGATGTAGAAAGGTGAGAGCAGAATTGAGTAAAGTCAAAATTTAGTTAGCCAAAAAATGGCAATAGGGTTGTTCTGTTTACAGTATGTCTACATTGCATGAGGCTGAGTAGGGATGCACCGATACCCTTTTTATCGGCAAGTATGAGTATCAGTACTTTTGGTCAAGTACTTGCCAATACCAAGTACCAATACTTTGTGGTGCGATTTGCGTTCATACAAAATGTATAGATGTAAATTGCACCACAAAGAATACATTACGATTTGAAGAGGAATGTGGTGCGATTCCTATCCAAATAGCATGCGGTTTCCCCAACGCCATTGTGTGAACCTAGGCTTGTCAGAGCCTCCCCGCTCCGATCCCATGCTGTCACACAAATAAAAACCACTATGCAGGTCGGCTTTCTCTCCTCTCCTTGCAGTGATGACAATACAGACTAGACGGCTTCTGATTGGTCAGCACCATGACGTCACACTGCATTCCTGTTTAAATCGCATGCTATTCTTTGCAGCATGGATGCAAATCACACTGCAAAGCATCGGTTTCAGGTATCGGGAGTATTTTTGCGAATACTCGGCATGATCACTGGTGCATTCCTAGTGCTGAGCTTTAGTGATTTTTGAGGTGAAATTTAAAAAAATACTGACCAAGAATACTACATGCCAGGTAGTTTTCTTTTTACAACATTGGAACTTGCAGACCCTTTCTTTTTTGACAGTCAGTGCAGTGACTGCATCCAGCAGCTGGGCATGAAAAGACTGAAGTTGTATAATGAACCAGCTGTGCTGTATTTGGTCACCCAACTGGATGAGCTTTAGCTTTTTCTCAGAAGAGAAATATTTCCTGGCTTCAGTGTTTAATTTGTTATCCACAGGTTTATTATGAAGTTGAAGAACTTCTCAGATAGTTCAGCACCCGCACATGAAAAAGCTTTTGCAGTTTTATGGTAAGTGTTTTGACAAGCAATTTTTTTCAGTTGGTTATGAACATTTTCCCTGTATGTCATACCTGGCTAGCCTGATTACTGGAAACTTAATTAAATCATTTTTCTGTTACCCTTAGCATGCGTTGCCAGTCCGTTCTCTACATGGCAATGTTTCGCTACAAAAAAGACACTGCATTAAAGTATTCCCGCACTCTTGGGGAGCACTTCAAGGTAACACATTTATACAGATTATGGCTATTTTTATTTTTTTTTTATAGTTCTAGGATAACCTAATAGCATTTTGTTGTTATACATCTGCACTTTTAGATAAAATTGCTAAAAGTGCAGTTTGACAAACATCTGCCATTAGAACATTTCAATTGCTTGCACTTAAACCTTATTCATCTCACAGGTTCAGATTATAATCTACTAGGATTCAAGGAAGAAATCACAATCGGCCTTCATGTATGAAGTGTCAGGTCTCCCAATATGAACTTTAGACTCTAAATGATCAGATGAGAATCCCGGGAAATCGAATCAGGCTGAGTGCTACTCAGTCATTCACAGCAAGTTTTGTAAATTATGAATGAATAAAAAGCTTCCTTTGATTAGCTGAGGCAGGCAGATGATGTCTTAATCTCTGCCTCAGCCAGTCAGAAGATTTGTATTAATCCTTAAAAAACAAAGCTTGCTGTGAATGGCTGAGCAGCAGCCATTGGTAGTAGTCAGCTTCAGGGTACTATATAGATATAGGGGCGTGGGTTATCCTTTGAAGACCCATTCAGGTGTATGCCCACTGAGTCAGGTAAAGCCTGGACTTTATAGCGGGTAAAATAAGTATTGAACACTTCACTATTTTTCTTGGTAAATATATTTCTAAAGGTGCTATTGACATGAAAGTTTCACCACATGTTGGTAACAACCAATTCAATTCATACATACAAAGAAACCAAATCAAATAAGTTCAGAAATGAAGTTATGTGTAATAAAATAGAATGATGCAGGTAAAAAGTATTGAACACAATAACTGAAATCTATTTAATATTTCATACAAAATCCTTTTTGGTAATGACAGCTTCAAGATGCCTCCTGTATGGAGAAACTAGTTTCATGCATTGCTCAGGTGTGATTTTAGCCCATTCTTCCTCACAAACCATCTTCAAATCTTAAAGTTTCTGTGGGCCTCGTCTATGAACTCTATCTTTAGTTCTTTCCATAGATTTTTTTTATTGGATTCAAGTCAGGTGATTGGCTGGGCCACTCTAGCAGCTTTATTTTCTTTCTTTGAAACCAATTGAGAGTTTCCTTGGCTTTGTGTTTGGGATCATTGTCTTGCTGAAATGTCCACCCTCATTTCATCTTCATCATCCTGGTAGATGGCAGCAGATTTTTAACAAGAATGTCTTGGTACATTTTTCCATTCATCCTTCCTTCAATGACATGAAGTTTGCCAGTGCCGTATGCTGAAAAACAGCCCCACACCATGATGTTCCCACCTCCAAACATCACTGTTGGTATGGTGTTTTTGGGGTAATGTGCAGTGCCATTTGACCTCCAAACATGGTGTGTATTATGGCATCCAGAGTTCAATTTTGGTCTCATCTGTCCAGACTATATTCTCCCAGTTGTGGTGGTTTATGTAAGAATTTATTCTAAATACTTAGGGCGATGTCCTCTCCCTCATACAAAATATTGCAGTACCTCCAGCCGTTAACATACGGCAAATATTTAAGAATCCAATAATTTGGACACCTTAATTTACCTTGAGTTCTTTCACCAATATGATTTCGTACCATATACGCAAAATTTGCCTTTTTGATAAATGTATTTATGTTCAAATATTTATATATATATTAATGCAAACGCAAAATACTGGTGATGAATCTATTTGTACACACAATCAAAGATATAGTATGCTAATATCTACGGTATCTTTCAAGATATGATTTTCAAATAAAGAAAAAATTAAAATTTTTGAGGTTAGTTGCAACCTATAGTGCTTCAGATATTATTTCTAATTTCCCACGGCCGTAGGAAAATAAGAAAGTATCTCTGATAATTAGCACACAAAAAACACTACAAATCAGTTAGTATGCAATATATAACCTCAGTACCAATACTCAAACAGTGGCAAGTGAGTATCGTGCAGTATATAGTGGTAATAGAGTAGTGAAGAAGTAGTTTCAGGAGTAGTTCAGAAGTGATCAAGAAGATGTCAGAAGATTTCAGAAGCTTAAAGTTTTCAGAAGATTGAAGTTGATCAAATTGTCTTCAATTTGAAGTGTTTGGCATTTTATACCATAAAAAGTCCTTTGTTCCGAAGGACCTCCCAACAGGCTTGTTGATTGGATGGTTGAGACGTTTGCGTACCTATAGAAGTTCCTTACCTGTCCACCTGGGACAGTCAGGTAACACAAATGAATTGGTGGTCTTAATGATGACTCACCCTTTGATATAATCAGTATGTCTTTATGGATCAAATATATGGGTCCTATTCAGGTATAAATTATTGCCCTACTAACTCTTAAATAAGGACCATAGAAAGATGTGAATATATTTGGTTTCTCATTTTTCTGATATGAACTGTATTGGGATGGCTGGTTTCCTTTGGAAATATAGAAATTACCCAACTCACAAACCATCTTATTTTTTTAACGTCATGATCTTCTGTTGAGTGGTATGCATTACCCAACTTTATTGAATAGATTTTGGTGTGTGGGAATATACTGTTGATAATATTTCTGTTGATATATATACCACACTTCTTTGTATCTTAAATGACACAGGTTTCACCTTGTGCTGAATGCACAGTTCAAGGAAAGATTGCCTCTTGTTACTAGCACTATTGTGTGATAATTAGAGTACACATCCAGTTGGAGTTTAGTGAGATGTTCTACTCACTATAATTGAGTTTCCTGCAACTGAAGTATCTCCTGGCTTCCCATAGACAATGGTGCTTGTTTAGATGACACACATCTGCAAGGTCTTGGAATAACCAGAGTCAGATCCCACCATTGTCATTTATGGTACTGTTTGATCATCTGCAGAAATTCAAATAGTGGTGTTTTAGCCTCATTGTATCTTAAACAAGTTTCTTCCACTCATTGTTTTTTGTAACTTCCTAGAAGGTCACTGGAAATCAACCAAGGATGTTAACCCATGACAGTCAGCTAGGATTCCCAATTTGGGATCATATAATTTTTCTTAATAAACAGTCCAAAAGTCATCACACAGTATTTCACAGGCTTGTCTAAATGTTGTGCAGCAAGCTTTAAAGAGCTTCAACATGCTTTTTCTTCAGCAATGGAGTCTTGCGTGGTGAGCATGCATACAGGCCCTGGTGGTTGAGTGTATTACCTATTGTTTTCATGGAAACAGTTGTACCTTCTGATTCCAGGTCTTTCTGAAGCTCTCCACAAGTGGTCCTTGGCTCTTGGACAACTCTTCTAATATTTCTTTTCACTCTTCTGTTGGAAATCTTGCAAGGAGCACTTGGACATGGCCAGTTTATGGTGAAATGTTCTTTGCACTTCTAGATTATGGCCTCAACAGTGCTCACTAGAACATTCAGAAGTTTAGAAATCCTATAACCAATGCCATCAGTATGTTTTGCAACAATAAGGTTGTGAAGGTCTTGAGAGAGCGCTTTTCTTTTACCTATCATGAGATGTTTCTAGTGTGACACCTTGATAATGAGAAACCTTTTTATAGGCCATCTCAGCTGAAACTGAACCAGCTGATATTATTTGCACTGATAAGGGGCAGGATTGCTTTCTAATTACTGATAGATTTCAGCTGGTGTCTTGATTCTCCATGCCTTTTCGCACCTTCCTTTCTTCATCTGTTCAATATTTTTCCCCTGTGTCCTTTCATTGAATTACACACAACTTAATTTATGAACGTATTTATTTTGTTTTTTTGTATGTATAGAGGGCATGGGTTGTTACCGGCTTGAAAATGTCATGTCAATAGCACCTTTAGAAATCTATTTACCGAGAAAAATGGTGACGTGTTCAATACTTATTTTAGCCGCTGTATATGCTGTCTAGCATCGTGGATAGGTAGGACAGGGCCATCCATTATGCTTTAGATTATTACTCTAAAGGTCTGGGGCTGTATTTGAGTTGTATTTATTACAGTGCAAACCTTTAAAATGTGGAGGTAAAACTCAACCACTGAGAGCTTAGTCTCAGGTGGGTGATCATGCATTGCATCACACCACAGGCTGCACATTTTACCACACCTTCCGCTTAGAACCTTTATATGGTACTCATTCCCACCTTTTTCGCCACAATGTTTCATTACAAGGTGGTCTACACCCAGGTTTGCTGTATTCTCCTTCTGCATATGCTTACACTTTATTTCGCAACCTACTCCATGAGTACCTCACACATAGCATTGCTTGGAGAGGTGAAAGGGAGCTATTGCAGAACCATGGCAAATGTTCGTTTTGCTGAAGTGATGATGTGCCCCTTACACTGGAGTAGGAGCTGACTCGTAACAGAAGTCTTTGCATCCTATTCGGGTGCAGCAAGCTGCTTACCTGACAAAAGCAGAATTTTCTGTGTCACAGTTCCTTGGACAAATTAGGACTTTAATACAACCATTTTTGCCCAGGGATCAAAACCACCACGCCTCATCTCCTTCTCCCATATCTTTATGAGTCGAAGTCATAGGGAATGAAGAGGACATTGAAGCAGAACTGGAGGATGCTGCAAGAGATATTTCTTTCCCAGATTGCCACATTATTGAAGGAGCTTCATGCAACATGCTTGCTAATGTGGAAAAGCTCACTTCTACCATTTGCAAAATTCTTGGCATTGTGCAGCTTGATTCTCCTCCATCTCACCATGCCCCTTTGAATACAAAAAGACCTGTAAAGACCACAAAGACATTTCCTGCTTATTAACAGATAGAATGTGCAATCCCTGATGATTGGATCACCCAAGAAGGATTTTCACTCCTCTTAAAATTTTTTCCAAGCTCTAGCCAGTG